TTCCATTTGGAATAGTTTATCTCATTTGCTGTTAAATCCCTATTTAAAATTAAAGAGTACTCCAGAAGTAAACACTATATAAATGGTAATAATAATAATAATGGCAATGATATGAAAGGTTGGAGGGGAAGCTGGCTAGTCTAGTGGCTAGTGTGTAATGAGAGATGACATCTAGTGGTCATAGATGGTACTGCAGGTTAAAAAATCTACCTGCCAAAATTTAACAGATCTTTTATGGAGACATTTGCCCATCTGCCCATGATTGATTAGTCCACTTTATAACTTGTGTGACAAACTCCCCTTCGCAAGTGAGTTTGCCACGAGCTCCTGAAGGAGCCTGCTTGCCAGCCTCCTGCCCACAGACTATGGGGTTGCAGGGAAACCTGTAAAAGAATATTTAACTGGTTTGGTTCGTGTGATTCCCCTATGCTGTTAGGGAACTGAACCGCTGCACGAACTATGGACCACCGGGAGCTTGTTACACCTAATGGATACATTGTAATGATCCTAACTGCAGTGTTCTAATGGTTCGTCTGGGTGTCCGCCGTTTGTATTCACAAACATGTGGTGGCGGCCATCTTGTTCGCACGAACGCAGGCAGCGGTGTTTGGTCATTGAGTCCATGAAAATGGACACTGAAACTCCCGAACACTGCTGGACTTCCATGATCACCTGCGTTCGGTTTTATATAACTTCGTTTGGATCGTTTGTCTGGATGAAGGGAACAAGCTCCACGGTATGTCAATGGATTCTGTTCGGTAGTTTGTTCTTTTTTAAGCTACTGAACTTGACCGACCGCTACCATTTTTTCCCTGGAATTATTTTGGGCAGGAGCCTCATGTCCAGTCGGTCAAAATATGACTTCTATGAAAATCCCGAACACCTGAACCGATCTGTGTGATTTTTGGATATGTTGGTCACCCAGATCGGGGCTATCAGGGGATATAACTTTTGTGGAGTTTTCATGTAGTTTAAAAGTACTTTTGGGGTGTCGGTGAAATGTATTTTTTGTGCCTGGAGATAATTGACTTTTGTAAAGCTCCTGACTCAATTATCTCCCATGCAAATGGGAGGGATTATCCTGTTTTGTGTGGGAGTGTCATGGGCGTGCTTGTCTGTGTTCAGAATTGTATAAAAGCAGGCCATCTGGCCAGATTAAAACATTCCAGCTTGTACTCCCAGAACTATGTGTCGTCCGGTTACTGGGAGGGGAAAGGGCTAATCACTGTTCCAGTGTGAAGGATTCAACGGTGAAAGTCCTTGTAAGGACTAGAGCTCCCAGGACTGAGTGTCGTCCAGTGCCTGGGGGTGGCTAGAGCGAATTCCCCATTCGGCCCCAGGACCCCAGTCAAGCCACGGCGACTGTGGGCAGAAGTTCTGCGGTTAGTCCCCTGTTCCAGCAATGAAGCGGTCCTTGGCAGGAAGCGGTCCATTACAACTTGTATAGACTTTCCTTCTTCTAATTTGTCAATGGGAACAGTCCTCAACATTAGCAGCATTGCTCTCATCCCTACTACAACATTTAAATTCTGCAGCGATCTTAAGAGTACAGTCATGTTTTAAAATCTGTTTTTTGAATAATCAAAACAATAAAAACACCTTCAGAGCAAAACATGATCTAACATTAATCTGAGAAGTGTTTTTCTGATATCATTTTGGAAATTTAGAAACAAATTGTAGAGACCTTCGCTGGAGCAGTCTGCTTGCTACGCTGTGCACATTGGGATTTTTAAGTATTTAGAGATCAGGAAAATTAATTTTCAGTTAACACTAAAACATTTACATAGTTACATAGTTACATAGCTGAAAAGAGACTTGCGTCCATCAAGTTCAGCCTTCCTCACATTTGTTTTTTGCTGTTGATCCAAAAAAGGAAGAAAAAAAAAACAGTTTGAAGCACTTCCAATTTTGCAACAGACTGGGAAAAAATCCCTATTGACCCCAGAATGGCAGTCAGATTTATCCTTGGATCAAGCAGCTATTACCCTACATTGAAAAATGATATCCTTGAATATTCTGTTTTTACAAGTATGCATCTAGTAGCTGTTTGAACATCTGTATGGACTCTGATAAAACCACTTCTTCAGGCAGAGAATTCCACATCCTGATTGTTCTTACAGTAAAAAAATCTTTCCTTTGCCTTAGACAAAAACTTCTTTCTTCAAGTCTAAACGCATGGCATCGTGTCCTATGTAAAGTCCGGTTTGTGAATAGATTTCCACACAATGGTTTATATTGGCCCCGAATATATTTGTATAATGTTATCATATCCCAACGTTTTTCTAAACTAAATAGGTTTAAATTTGTTAACCTTTCTTCATAGCTGATATGTTCCATTCCTTTTATTAATTTTGTAGCCCGCCTCTGCACTTTTTCTAGTGCCATAATATCCTTCTTTAGAACAGGTGCCCAAAATTGCACAGCATTTACAAGATGTGGTCTTATCAGTGATTTATAAAGAGACAAAATGATATTCTCGTCCCGAGAATGATTGCCCTTTTTCATACATGACAATACCTTACTGGCCTTAGCCACTGCTAATTGTTGCATAGTTTGTTGTCTATAACAATTCCCAAGTCCTTTTCGGGTGTTGTTATCCCTAATTCGCTTCCATTAAGGGTATACGTTGCTTGTGTATTCTTTACGCCGAAGTGCATAACTTTGCATTTTTCAACATTAAATTTCATCTGCCATTTGAGTACCCAGTCCCCCAGTCTATCTAAATCCCTCTGCAGTAAAGTAATATCTTGCTCACATTGTATTACTTTACAGAGTTTTGTGTCATCTGCAAACATTGAAACATGACTTTCAATGCAGTCTTCAAGATTATTTATAAATATGTTAAATTGAAGGGCTCCCAGAACAGACCCCTGAGGGACACCACTTGCCACCTCTGTCCAGCCTGAAAATTTACCATTAATGACAACTCTCTGTACTCTATTTTTAAGCCAATTTCAAACACTAAAACTGCTTTAGCTGGTTTATCTTTCTTTTCTCTGGATGGAAATTGCTAATTTATCAAACACCCTGAATGTAGACTGAATATTGGAAAAAAACAATCTTTCGTATTGTACTTTAAATCATTATAACACGATGGACTATATTGAAACACAGTTGGGTTCATATTGTAATTTCTCTCTCTTTTTAAAACACTGCCACCTAACCTCTAGTAATGTATTTGTGAACTGTTAATAATTCTAATTGTACAAAAATGCAATAACACACAGCTACTTCCACTGAGGTAGTTAAATGGAATGATGTGTGATAGTGAGACTTATTTAACTTAACTTTGAATTATGTTGAATTGAGTGTAATACGGTCTAAAATAGCCAAGCTGTAACCATAGCTGAATGAAAAAAATGTTTAAAAAATATTTTATTGATCCTTATTTTTGCAATTCACAATTTAATTCACCATTCATCTATATATAGTAACTAAACCTCTACGTTTTAAAAATATTTTGTTACTGTCTCCATTACCACTAAATATATGAGGACCACTTACCTGTGGTCCACCATTACTGGTCACTTCCTCTATCGAGACAGAGCCAGTGGAATAGCCAATACCGGACTTAGCTTCCGACTCTCATGGGATGATGTCACCAGGGCCCAGTTAACCTCAGGTAAGTTGTCACACTGTTATCAAATGGTTGCACTACTAACAATGCCGGGTCATCATCGTACAGCTAACACCATAGCCACTACTTGGAGTGTTCACTTAAAATGATGTGTTGAAGTAGAGTGGAGTAGAGTAAGTACACTGTAAAGCCCATATCACTGTGGACCATTGCCATTAAGGACCAGTTCATCAAACATCTCCAGGTTTTAATATGGAACTAATTGAGCCAGGGATCTTTTTGACCCACAATTATCCATACATTCTGGGGGACGCCATGCTGAATGATTAATTAAAGGGATAAATTAAAGCATGCATTAGTTGGAGTCTTTTTCAGTATAAATGACGGTGTAACTATGTAACAAAAAAGTAATGCATTATGAAGTGCGGGGAATCCAGTGGGTACAATATTACATGGTATGATCGGTCAGTTCGCACAACAGAGAGTATTACATGAATGTCTAACTAAATATAGGCTAGAATGACCAAGCTATGACTACAAGCTGTGTTGGAATCTTTTTCAGCTTTGTAGCCTTTATTTTGCCACTCACCATGAGACCCTGAACATATTCCTATCTACGAAGAACATCTCTTCTTTAATATCGAGATCTCGAGATTACACATTCACTATCAGACCGTGGGAGTCTACCAGCCTACCTAGGGTCCATGAGAACCTTTTCACCACATACCCTGATAATCTGTACCACGAGGAGCCAGAGGCAGGCACAGGACCTCGTATTTTGGGATTGCTGTAGTAATTAAATAACTGATTATCATTTATCTGCTATTTCACATGAATATGTGAGTATTTGTTTGGTAAAACATTTGCAAAAATAATGCTTTAAAACACCCAGCTCAGAGGGGCGGGACCTGACAGCCAAGAAGGCCAGACGTGTTTCTTCATTGCTCCAACACTAGCAGGCATAAAATGAGCCCTTTTCAGCTCTTATCTGCACCGATAACTACTACACACGAGCTGTGGAGTGCCTTCAAACGAGAGGGAACTGAAAATGCCGACCCTGTACCATTTCACCGCTACCACACACTGTCCGAGCCGACGGCCTAGCCTGCTGAACAGCCTGGTGTCTGGGAGGCGGCTGAGGCGGCCGTTCTCCCGACCCAGGATTAGCAATGCACAATGAAAGCTTTGCACCCCCCCGCAGCTTAAACTCTGGACCGGCAGGGGTTATCCCAGTCCCCGCTGGGGCAGCACACTTCACTGCACCAGCAGAGCCTCCTGCATGGAGCAGCAAGGATGGCCACTGAGCCTCAAAGCTTGCTTCTACAGGAAAGCTCACAAACCAAAACTTGGAGGGAGGACTTTGATGCCAGATTTGATATGCTTTGTCAAGCATTCTGGGAACGCATCACCTGCCGATACCCCAATGGTATCTCACCAGCGAAAGCCGATGACCCACGCTGCTCTGCCGAATCACCCAGCAGACTCTGAGCTAGGAGCCAGCATGGAGGCACCATCTACCAGACACCTACCTGCAAAGGTCCCCCTGAAGATCCGACCATTCGGAAGAGCAAGAGTCCGGTACTGCAAACCCCTCTCAACCTGGCCGGGTCAGTGGCGCTGGGAGCCCACGGGCTCAGGAAACAGCCAAGTCTGCACTTCAACGAGCATGGGCCACAAGGGAAAACTTGGAGGAACAACAAGCTGCCACGGAACACAGCGAGTACCCACCAGTGATGCCTGATTCAGGCATAGGCTGGCTGTCACCCTTTACACGTTCCATGGCCCTCACCTTGGACCCGGAGTGGTGGCTCACCTGCTCACCTTCCCAGTGAACACACGCCTGATTTATGTTAAGATCATTTCTTTTCTCAACTTTAATTAACTACCTATCACTTAGCCTTATCTAACATGTGCCCTTACTGAGATTTAGTCATAATATAAGTACCCAGCGGCTCCTTTCTAATGCCACTAACAACAGTTCTGTGATATAGCTTCACTTTGTCTCTTTGTTTACCTATATAGAATTGTATTGCTGACGCCAAAAAGTGCAGTATTCTTGAAATTGTTTGATTTGCTCTGGCTATTCTTAACTCTAATAAAAATGTCTACATATTCCGGTAGTTATGCTATGCACTACTGAAAATAAAGAATATAAAAAAAAAACACCCAGCTGAAAAACTTAATAAAGGTAATGGTTTAAAAGATACATTTAAAATCCAGTCTATTTAAGTAACAAAACTGTTCCGTATGTATCATAATTTTCCTTGAAAGTTTACTCCAAGCATCAAATCTCTACCACCCACTGCAATAAAGCTTTTTCCTCTTACCTGGGTCCCCACTGGACTCCGAAATCTCCCTGGTAGTCTGATGACAACTTCTGGCTTCTGCAGTGCTGCAGAAGCCGGAAGCCAACCCAGTCGCTCTTCATTGACCATGAGTGCCAGCTGACCACTGTCAACCAATGAATGGCACACTGTGCAAAAAAATGAATTGACCTTATCCAGCCTGGAACTCTGTGTAGGATTAAACATTCAAGTGTAGCATTTTAGAGAGGAACGCCGCACTTACAAACCACCGGCACCATAACCACTTCAAATCACTGAAGTCGTCATGGTACTTGGAGGGAGTAACCCTTTTTATATGAATGCTACTATACAGATATGCCCCACTTGGAGCAAGGTATCAGGATAAGGTCATTATAATTTTAGAATATTTCAATAATTGAAGGTACTGGAAGTGGGGGGTGGGGGGTGGGCAGGAATATCTAGACGAAAGGACTAGCCATGAAATTTCAATATTGACATGCTAATAAAGCACATTAGCAGACATCATTACTCCATAAATACATAAAACAAGCTTTAATAATTATCTACTAAATTCTAAAAAAATCTCTCCATTATGTCTGATATCTAAAAAATATGTTATTATGTTAATTGTTCCACTTCTTATCAAACACTATTATGGTAGAGTGTCCATTAGACTCGAGTGAAGGGGACAATTAGTTTAGAAGACAGCGGAGGTTGAATGTTTTAATCAAAATAAAACCCTAAGGGTTAATAAGTATATAGGGGTGTATATAAAAAATACCCCTCTCTGTCTCATTAGAGATATTTTTGCCAGAAGCTCAAGGAAGCAGGCTGAAGGGTCAGTGTTAGAACTCGCTTAGGGGGGTCTGCCTTGATGTTGGCAGGCGGGCATTCTCTCCAATGGCCATTGGAGCAACTAAATGACCTCCATTTGTCTAAATATACATAGGGATTAAGGAGAGAGCGCAGGTAACTTTTTCTTTTCTAAGGTCATAATAGCTGAGCTCTAAAAACTCCCTAAGTCAGCAATGCTTTCAGTATTTAAAAAATTATTTATTTATAGCTCTGGGAAACAAAATGAAGGCACAGACATAATGGAGTAAGCCTAAAGCCCACCTCTGCTTGTGTTGTTGCAGACTGTATCTAACATTAAAGGCCGATATCAGTACAAAGCTTCATTGCCATATATGTAAAAAACAGAATTAGATGGGAACCAAAGTTGCCCCCTCAAGGTCACGCTCAAGGCTCAAGAAGAAAAAGAAAAAATGTACCCTAAGACTGGCCTACAAACCAACCATGAGCTCTCTATTATACAGTATAGGTATTGAAATCCCCTTTAAATTCTCACTTTAATTCACCAAAGTCTGAATGTATATGGGGCCAGTTGGACTGCTAAATCTGGACATTGTTTATGCATTTTAGCAAAGCACGGAATTTGTAATTCTGGCCACAGAATGGGCCTGAGTTTGGTCCTGATTCCATTTAGACCATACCACCATGGAAGGCTAAAATCCAGACCAAATGTCGCAGACCCGGGCCTGTTGGCTTCAAATATGGGCCAGAATTAAAAAAATCCTCACCAATGCCAAGAGTATTCATATGGCAGCTAGCCAGCACTTGCAAGAAAGCCACCACATTAAATAGTACGAAATAAATTAATAAAACTTACATTACATTAAGGAATATATATATATTTTTGTCAATCATTATTTTTATTGAGGCACATATTAGAGAAACATGTTTCTCAAATCATGTTACAGATATGTCACCCAGAGGCAGCTCTAGACTTTGGGGCCCACTAACACCAAAGTAAAAAAAATAGAGTTGCAATACATGCACACTGTCACATATACACATTGATGCACTGTTTACCTGTGTATGTGCCTGTTTGCTTTTTTGTCTGGGACCGTATGTGTATGGTGTAGCTGCTTGAAGTGTGTTGTGTGTATGGGGGGTCTGCCTGTGGCCTTTGTGCATTGTGTTTATGGCAAACCTATGTTTCCTGACTGTGTGTATAATGAATGTCTTCAGCTGGTGACTGTGACAAGCTGAGTAAAGGGGTACCAGTGGCAGGGAGAGTGTGACATTGCAAAGGGGGTAAATGGACATGGGGGGGGGTTTTGAGAGAGAAGGAGGGACAGGGAGTATGATATGGTTTGATGAGGGAGTGTGACAGGGCGAGTGGAGGTAAGTGTGTCAGGGCAATTGTGGCATGGTAGGAGGGATGAGTGTGACAGGATTAAGGGGGGTTAATGTGACAGGGTGAGTGTGGCAGAGTGACAGAGTCTGTGCATGATTGTATGTAAGTGCATGTATGATTGCATTTTTATGCATACAAGCATGTCACTTGCATGTGTATGAATATAGGGGATAAAAAAGGGGAAGAGGGTTAAGAAACAGACAAGAGGTAAGAATGGCTAAGAGATACAGAAGAAACTACGTGGGTCAAGATACACACAAAAGAAATTGAAAAACTGTTCAAAGACACACAATATTGAATGGGAATTAGAAGAAACAAGGTCCGTAAATACAGAGAAATACACACAAAGGGTTAGAAAGCAAAACACAAAAAGTTTAAAATTGTGGGGGGAGGGGATGACAACATAGATTTCTGTCACGGGTGACAAGTGCCTAGCTACGCCTCTGCACAGAGGGGCTGGGGAAGAAGAAAAAGAGACACACAGAGGGGCTTGGGGAGGGAAAAAGGAGACACACAGAGGGGCTGGGCTGTAGAGACATACAGAGGGTTTTGGGGAAGTAAGAAACACACAAAGGGTATGAAGTAAGAGATTCATAAAGGAGCTGGGGGGAATTAAGAGACACACAAGCAAGGTGTAGAACACACAAAGGGGATAAATAGGGTATACGATACAATAAAAGGGCTTGTAAGACAAGATACACTAAAGGGTGTAAGAAATTTACAAGGGGGGGTTAAAAGATACGTAGATAAAAATGCATTTTTTGGGTGGAGGGGCAAAATGTATCTTCAACTGAGTGGCTACAAATCCTAGCACTGGCCCTGAACGTGTGAGACACAGAGATCCTAGAGTAAATGTGGCTGTTGCTGATCTGTCAGTTCTTGGATTTGGCCCCCAAACTTAATATTTAAAGTGCAACTCGAAGCACCATGACAAAATCAGTGAGTTGAAGTGGTCATGGTGCCTGGTGTATGTATGTATGTGCAGCGTTTCGCCCGTCTGGAACTAGAGTTCTGTACATATTGGATATTTGACGCCAGGACGCAAAACGTGCTGTTGACAGGTGACCAATAACAGCAGGCCCCTAATTCCCTGCTGCCCGTGTACTCTCATCAGCCCACCCTCCCTGACATGCCTCCCGCTCCAGCGAGGGGAAGGAATGTTAGTGGAGGATCAGACTACCGGGAAAACTTGACCTGGAACTTATTGGCTTTATTTTATTTATTTAAGTTTGGAGAAATAATTTAAGCTCTATATAGGCTGGTGGTATAATATTATAATCTATGGTACCAGCAAATCAAAGACAAGATCCGACCTTAAAAATGCTGTGACATTACATAGAGATATTATGGAACTTAAAAAAGTGCAGAGGTGACACAACTAACAAGGAAATGGAATCTTTGGTAATGAAGAAATGCAAAAAACATACTTAGAAAAAAAAGACATAGGATAACGTTATACAAATTTAAATATATATATATATATATATATATACAACCAGTACAAACAGCTCTCAACTTACCTCTTCATTAAAAATAATGTACAAAGAACAAGGGTCACCCACTTAGACTTGAAGAAAGGAGATTTTTCACAATTTGTGGCAAAATAGAAAATCACTTTAAATAGTTTTTTTGTTATCAACAGTAGAAACAGATGCGTGAAAGTCCTTTATTACTATGTAGCATGTACCGTTAACTAGGTTTGTACATATTTCTGATCAAGTATTAAAGGTAAGTCACTGTAACAGTTAATGCTTATCTTCAGATCGCATCGTCTGAAGCAGAAATAAAAACTGCTGACCTTGAAGTCAGATTGTTCAATGCATCCACCTATATACAATGTATTCTATTTTACAGAATAATGCTTTTTATTTATTTATATGTACCCATACACCCCCTCCCCCTTTACACAATATGTTTAATATGAAAAAGAGTTGGCAAGACTTCCTTGAGACCCTTGTTTTCTAGTAAAGTTTCTTGGCATATAGGTTATAAGGACAATATGCCCTTTGTTATTAACGAGCGTGGAGTAGCGGTAGAGGAAAGAGGAAACCCCTAATGCAGTCCCGAATAGACCTGTGAACAAGCATAATAAAAGTTATCCTGGATTTCCTTGACCAGCAGGTGCTTCCTATAACATTTCCATTCATTCATGAATAAAAGGATAGGGGCTGCCAAATCCCCAGGTTCATGTGTTCATGGGTGAGGTAAGGTTGACCCTTGGGCTGCGGGATTCCA